AACTCAGGCCGAACGAGACCTTGGGAACTCACACCATCGGAAACTTCATCTTCAGAGGCCTCATCCTCAGGGAGCTTAGCTGTGAAGATACAAGTGGCGCTGTCTCACAGCAGCTGCTGCCCTCAAGGTCCCCCGCGCAGGCTCGCATGAGGGCTGATAGGTTGGATGGCACCCCCACAGGCTAGACGCAGGCTCTCATGAGGGCAGGAACTACAGGCTCATACATGTTCAAGATATCTAGGCGGCTCAAGCCTCACGAGGGCCGCCACCTCTGCAATCTACATTTACAGCTCCGTCGTTGGCGACGCGGGCGCTGACGACGAAGCTGTAACTGTAGATTGTAGATGCACTGGCTTGCGCGGCAACCCACTTGCAAGCAAGGAAATATCACATGACTGACTGCGAGACGCGGCTTCGGCGACGAATCCGATCTAGATTACAATCCTGTTGCACATGTGTTTCGAATTCCTCTGTCGCGCAAAGTATCCTACGGGGCACTATTTGCCGTCCGGAAGACACCCGAAATCATTCAGTACGGCGTAAACTAGTGGGAAGCTAATCGGCGGGCCGCGTCGCGGGCGCTGACGCTGAACATGCGCGTAAATTGTAAGCCCATCCGAACGCACGGTGCAACATTCTTACAAACGCGACGAGATGAAGGAGGACACGGCGAGCAACGCCCTGTGCGAAAAGGCGCATGGTACAATCCGTTTGCAAGCACGACGGGGTGCAGGAGGGGGTGGCAAGCAACGCCATCGGCGAATAATATGTCGATCGGTATGGCAATCCTCGAACAAACATGTTTGCAGGGTTGCCCTGAGAGCATTACTCATTGGGGGAAAGGCCCCCCCCGGGAATTATCCAGCCCACCCAACAATCGTGGGGAACGAATCGGCTGGCCGCGCCGCTGGCGCTGACGCTGAAGATGCACATGTAGTGTATATATGTACATGCTGGCGCATTCTGTTTTACAAGCAGGACGACATGAAGGAGATGGCGAGCAGTTCCCGTGGCAAATCATATGTCGATATACACAACGATCCTCTTACAAACGTGCTCATAGTTCCCGTGTCGTGCAGGATCGCCCACACAACATTGTTCCCTGATGGACAACCCCCTCGACATTATCGTGCCCACCGAACAACAACACAGGACAATAATCGGCGGGCCGCCCCGCTGGTGCTGACGCAGAACATGTGCATCTAGAGTATAAATGTAGATGATCGCATGGTGCAATATTCTTACAAACGCGGCGAGATGAAAGAGGAGATGGCGAGCAACGCCCGCGGCAAGTAACATTTCGATCGATATAACAATCGTCTTGCAACCATGTTCAAAAATCCAACGTCGTGCGGAACATTGCCGAACCCACCCAGCGATAATGGGAAACGAATTCCACGTCGCCACTTGCGCCGGGCGCGAAAAGGAATTTTGCGAGCCGTAACACGCAAGCCAATGTGAGAAAACTCCCGAATCAAGACGCAACACAATTCTACTGCAATCCTCTGAAAGAGGCTCACGACACCCCCCGCGTGCAGGATAACCCACAATGGATTATTCCGTGGAGAAAAAATCAAACATTGTCCAGCCCGCCCAACAATAGACAGAGGGATACCAATTTCATGCCGCCGTGCGCCGAAGAGGCACCAGCAGGAGTTTCGCCGTCGGTGCTAGGCGAACGATTTTTAACAGACTCGCAAATCAATGTGAAGCAACTCCTACTGCAACCTTCGTGAGAAAATGCGCACACATCCTCCCGCGCGCAATGTAACCCACAACGGGGTACACCGCTGGATAATGAATCCCGGCACGTTTTCCAGCCCGCCCAACAATGGAGGAACGCTAATCCCCCGTCGAGGCGCGCCGACAGGCGAGTCTGAGCAAAATCACACACCCAAACCAAACACTTTTGCATTGCAAGCCTCATGAGGATATACTCACAAATCCTTCCCACATGAGACATTGCGACGCATCTATTATTGATCACGCGTGCAATAACGTCATACTCCAACCGGTCACCGTCGAAACACATGTTATTGTCCATGCCAACATGGCGACTTTGATATTAATGAACACGTTACGCATGAAAACCTCAAATTCAAATCGGTCACAACGAGGGGTTCGTGTTAGCTTCCATGCCAACATTGCGATTCGTGTTTGGAAACGTTGGAACACGCATGTTGGTTTCAAAAATCCATCGGTCACCATTGAGGGTTCACTGTATTTTCCAGGGCAAAATGGCGACTTGTCCATTCAAACGTGGAACACGCCAGTTAGCTTGGCAACCAAATCGGTCACGGTTAAGAGCTCACTGTAATTCCCAAGCAAATATTGCGAATCTTCCATCATGGACAATGCATAAATCGCCACGCGCGCGTGGCGAACTCTGTATTGTCCACCTTGCAATAGTCGCCATGCTGGTCTGGAATCTAACATAAAATCTCAAGGGTGGTCAAAGGGCATACGGGTGACCCGCCCGCGCGTGGGTTGTCCAATCGTGCGCGCGCACGCGCGCGTGGCAAGTTTCTCATCGTCCACAACGGAAAAGTTGCCATGTTGGCATGGACACTACAGCGAACACGCAACGGTGACCGATGGAATTTTTAAGCGAACTACGTGTTTCCATGTTTCCACGTTTTCAAATCCGACGACCCGGCGGGTGAGTTTAAGGGAGGGGGGACCAGGGTTGCTGTGCCGGGGTACGGGGAGGGGGAGGGGGGAGGGGGTCCGGCGGCGTGGGTTCCAGTGGCGCGGGGGGGGGGTCCGGTCCCCGGTCCCGCTTGTGGACAAGGGGAACTGGGGGAAGAAAGGGGGGGGGTCCGGTGGCCGGGGTGGCTCTGCCGGGGTATAGAGGGGGCTGGAGGAGGGGTCGGGTGGCGTGGGTTCTAGTGGCGTGGAAAGGGGGGGGTCCGGTCCCCCGTCCCGTCTGTGGACAAGGGGAATTGGAGGAAGAAAAAGGGAGGGTCTGGTGGCGTGGGTTCCGATGGCGCGGGGGGAGGGAAGGGGAGGTTCCGTGGCGTGTGAAATTGAAGGGGCCTCAGCTACGGCCTCGAGGCTGAGCTTCAGCCTCCGGGGGGGGGCCGGAGTGGCCCTGCCGGGGAAGGACGGGAGGGGGGGTGCGCGCGCGCGGCGTAGAGTTTGTCCGTGTACGCGAGAAGGGAGTCGGGGAACAAAAAGGGAGAGAAGTGGAACGGGGAAAAAACGGAAAACAAGAAACACATTGGCGGGGAAGACGAAGGTGGCGGTGAGATGCGTGTCTGTTGCGTTGTGTGTGTGTGTGTGTCTGTGTTTGTGTTTGTGTTGTATTGTATTGTATTGTTTTGTGTTGTGTTGTGTGTGTTTGTGCGGTGTGCGTGGTGTGTGCGTGTGTGTATGTGTGTGCGCGTGTTGCCCGCGTGTGCGTGTGTACGCGCCTGCGAACGTGACGCGCGTGTGTATGCGGGTGTGCAATGTGTGTGTGTGTGTGTGTGTGCGTGCGTGCGTGCGTGCGTGCGTGCGTGCGTGCGTGCGTGCGTGCGTGCGTGCGTGCGTGCGTGTGTGCGTGTGTGTGCGTGTGTGTGCGCGTGCGCGCGCGACGTCTGCGAGCGTGTGCGTGCGCGTCTGTCGGCGAAGTGTCGCCGCCCAGTCTGGGGGGCGCTCCAAGCGACCCGGATCGGCGGCGCTGGCCGAAAGCCACTACAATATAGACAAATCGCCATGTCGGCCTGGAAACGAAAGCGAACCCTCGACGGCGACCAATTGGATTATGAAGTTAACGCGCGTCGTTCAACGGTTTCAACCAACAACAAAAGGTCGCCATGTCGGCCTGGAAGCAGGAGTATACCCTGGACGGTGGCCGGTGTAATGTTGGAACCAACATGCGTTTTTCAACTTTGACGCATGGAACCATGTCGCCATGCTGGCCTGGAACTGGAGTGAACATGTCCCATGGTTACCCATGGTCCCCCACAACCCCCAGACATGTCCAACACATGTTCTTAGATTTGCCATGGTTTTCCGCTTTCCATGCTCCCGAAAAAGACCTGTCCCAAAAGTTTGCTCACGACCTCAGAGACGGCCGCGCCCTCAGCGCCACCCGCGACCTTTGCGCCAGGCCCCATGCTCAGGCTGCCCTGGTTCAGGCGCCTCAAGAGAGCCTCAAGGCTTCATTTTTGAGCCGCAATGGTTGCCCCTCATTGCGCTCTCACGCGCCAGGGTCTGGCCCTCACGAGAGCCCCACCGCCCTTTATCTCCTCAGGTTGCCTCTCCTCCTCCTCCTCCTCCTCCTTTTTCTCCTCCTCCTCCTCTTCCTCCTTAGCAGGGCTAAAGCAGGGTAGGCCAAGGGGCATTTTCCCTGAGAAAAACGAAACGTTATCCAGCCCACACAACAATGGAGGGAGCGTGATCTCTGCCGCAACGAATAGTTTTAGGACCAGTTCTATTCACAGCCGAAGGTGAGAGGGGGGCTCAAAACTAAAAACCCTCTGAGGCTAAGGGAAAACAACAAACAACAAACAGCATAACATTGCCAGCGTGAATCCAAACAGTGATGTCGTGCACGCGATGCGCAAAAGGGACGACGGGCAAGTCGCCCAGCCGCTCAAGGATAACCGTCTCGCGGTGAAGCCGCTCCACGATGTCCTTGAAGCCAGGCTGCATGCAGAACCTGTGCCCCGGGTGGCAGTCTGAAAGGGGCGGTCACTGCAGGCCCTGCCGACAAGGCGGTTACAATCGCCGCGCTACCAAAATCAGACGAGGGAAAGTTACGGATACAGCTACCCAGACGTCGTCGCCACAGGTGGATTCGCCTCGAAATTCTGGTCAGAACGCACCCCGGGAGCGGTCTGGTGAGTAGCTTGCACCCCCACCCCACACACACAGAAAGGAACGCTGGAGAAGGAGTAGAGAAGTCTTCTGGCCACGGAGTGGTTCGGTCACGAACGGGCTCCCCCGCCTGAATCTGAGGAGCGGCCTGGAAGCCAGAGCCCCTCTTCTACTGCAGGCGCTCATGGGGGCCGCGCCTATTTGAACGCGGCCCCCCTTTCGAAGGACGGCCGCGGGGCCGGGAGCCTGCGCAGCCCGATCGCCTTGACTGCGAACCGCTCGCCGCCCCTGGCGCACTCGTACACCCTGGACGTGGCGCCAGTGCCGATGAGCCTGGCGATGGTGTAGCGGCCCTGGTCAGCGGTCGGCTGGCCACCCGCGAATACCAGGGCGCCCAGGATCAGGGAAGGCAAAGACTTCGTGCGGGTGGACCTTTTCAGACCTGGCGTTCTGTCCCAATCTCGGCCTCTGGGGAACGTTCTCTTGTCCCCGAGGCCATTAGAAATAGATCAGCAACGAAAGTCTGCGCCGTCGGGGGAAGGGGTCGAGACGTCGGACGTCGAGACCTTCGCCCGCGGATTGAAAAAATCCCCCCGTCGGAAGTCGGGCTTCACCTGCTGACAGGAGCCGGCCACGCTGAAGCCCAAGAGAAAAAAGAGGCGGCCACAGCGGCGGCCCACTCGGCCGCCCAGGGCTACCGCTTGGCTTGGCCACGCGGGGGCAAGACTCGCCCTCAACTGCCAGGGCGCCCCGAAAGGATCGTCGGAAGGCAGGATGGCGTGCAGGCAACCCCTGCCTGCTGAGAAGGACGCCCCCCCCCCTCGCCCCGCCCGCCGACCCACATCCGCTCGAACCTGACCCCCGTCCGAGGCGTAGGCCCCCGAAGGGCCGTCCTGACAAGTTTTCCGAGACAGCGACGACGAGCCCTGAGAGACTCTCGACAATCTCCGAAGAAGCGCCTTGACGACAACGACGACGACGACGACGGGCGACGACGACGGACGACGACGACGACGACCACGACGACAACGACGACGACGGCGACGGCGACGACGATGACAGATACGACGATGACAACGACGACGACGGCGACGACGATGACGACGACGGACGACGAATGACGACGGACGACGACGATGACAAGGACGATGACGACGACAACGACGACGGCGACGATGACGACGACGGCACCGACGAGGGACGACGACGACGGACGACGACGACGACGGAGACGACGACGACGACGACGACGACGGCACCGACCACGAAGACGACGGACGACGACGACGACGGGCGATGAACGACGACGACGTCGACGATGACGACGGACGACGGAAGACGACGCCGACGGACGACGACGACAACGACGACGATGACGACGATGGACGACGAAGACGACGACGATAATGACGACGAGCCCTGAGACTCGAAAACCTCCGAGACAGCGGCCTTGACGACAACGACGATGATGACGACGACGACGACGACGGACAACGACGACGACCACGACGACGGACGACGACGACGATGACGACGGACGACGACGACGACGACAGACGACGGAGGACGGACGATGACGACGACGACGACGACGACAACGACAACGACGAAGACGGACGACGACGACGGCGACGACGCCGACGACGGAAGATGACGACGGACGATGACGACGACGACGACTACGACGAGACGACGACGACTCCGACGACGACGGACGACGGACGACGGGCGACGGTCGACGGACGACGACGACGACGAACGACAACGACGACGACGACGACGACGACGACGACGACGGACGACGACGACGACGACGACGACGACGGACGGACGACGGACGACGACGACGACGACGACGACGAAACACGACGAGGACAACGACGACGACGACGAAAGACGACGACAGACGACGGACGACGGACGACGGACGACGGGCGACGACGACGACGACGACGGACGACGACGACGACGACGACGACGACGGACCACGGACGACAGACGACGACGACGACGACTCCGACGACGACGGACGACGGACCACGGACGACGGACCACGGACGACGATGACGACGACGACGACGACGGTCGACGACGGACGACGGCGACGGACGACGGACGACGACGACCACATACAATGGACGACGGACGACGGACGATGACGACGACGACGACGAAGACAGACGACGGACGACGACGACGACGACGGACGACGATGACGACGACGGGCGACGACGGACGATGCCGACGACGACGGACGAAGAACGATGACGACGACGACGACGACGAGACGATGACGACTCCGACGACGACGACGGACGACGGAAGACGGACGATGGACGACGGACGACGACGACGACGAACGACGACGACGACGACGGACGACGACGACGGACGGACGACGGACGAAGACGACGACAGACGACGACGGACGACGGACGACGAACGACGACGACGACGCTGTCGACGACGACGACGGACGACGACGATGGACGACGGACGACGACGGACGACGGACGACGGACGAGGGACGACGATGACGACGACGACGCTGACGACGACCACCACGCCGACGACGACGGGCGACGACGGACGACGACGACGACGACATCGACGGACGACGACGACGACGACAGGCGACGGACGACGGACGACGGACGATGACGACGACGACAACGACAACGACGAAGACGGACGACGGACGACAACGACAACGACGACGGACGACGACGCCGACGCCGGACAATGACGACGGACGATGACGACGACGACGAAGACGACGACGAGACGACGACGACGACGGACGACGGGCGACGGTCGACGGACGACGCCGACGACACACGACGACGACGACGACGACGGACGGACGACGGACGACGACGACGACGGACGACGACGACGACGACAACAACGACGACGATGACGAAAGACGACGGACGACGGACGATGACGACGACGACGACGACGAAGACAGACGACGGACGATGACGGACGGACGACGACGACGACGACGACGACGACGACGACGACGACGGACGACAACGACGACGACGACGACGACGGACCACGGACGACGGACAAAGGACGACGGGCGACAACGACGACGACGAAGACGACGACGACGACGGACGGACGACGAACGACGGACGACGGACGACGATGACGACGACGACGACGACGACGACGACGACGACGGACGGTCGACGACGGACGACGACGACGACGACAACGACGGACGGACGACGACGACAGACGATGGACGGCGGACGACGGACGATGACGACGACGACGACAACAACAACGACGAAAACAGACGACGGACGACGACGACGACGACGACGGACGACGACGACGACGGACCACGGACGACGGACGATGACGAAGACGACGTCGACGAGACGACGACGACTCCGACGACGACGGACGACGGACGATGGACGACGGACGACAGACGACGACGACGACGAACGACGACGACGACGAAGACGACGACGGACGACGACGACAGACGACGACGGACGGACGACGGACGACGACGACGACGACGGACGACGACGACGACGACGACAACATTGACGACGACGACGAAAGACGACGGACGACGGACGATGACGACGACGACGACGACAACGACGAACACAGACGACGGACGATGACGACGGACGACGGACGACGACGACGACGACGACGACGACGAACACGACGGACGACGACAACGACGACGACGACGACGACGACGGACCACGGACGACGGACGACGGACGACGGACGACGACGACGACGACGACGACGACGACAAACGACGGACGACGAACGACGGACGACGGACGACGATGACGACGACGACGACGACGACGGACGACGGACGACGGACGACGACGACGACAACGACAACGACGGACGACGAAGACGACAGACGATGGACGGCGGACGACGGACGATGACGACGACGACGACGACGACGACAACGACGAAGACAGACGACGGACGAAGACGACGACGGACGACGGACGACGACGACGACGACGACGGACGACGGACGATGACGAAGACGACGACGACGACGACGACGAGACGACGACGACGACTCCGACGACGACGGACGACGGACGATGGACGTCGGACGACGGACGACGACGACAACGACGAACGACGACGACGACGACGACGACGACGACGACGACGACGACGACGACGACGACGGACGACCACGACGACGACGACAGACGGACGACGGACGACGACGACGACCAGACGTCGTCGTTCTCTGCCATTGGTCTGTCAAGAGATTCCTACAATGCCCCCGGAGCGCTCCGGGGGGAGGCCCCGCTCTGAGGCCTCTGCCGGGGCCTCCGAGGGGACCCCCTGGTGGCCGACCTTCGCCAGCCACCGAGGACGACAACGAACACGATCCTGTCTTGTTAAATTTGAGTCTGACATGTTTACTTTCATTACATGGTGCCCCCCCCCACCCTGCCCTCGCCCCCTCGCCGCCCCATCCCTCGCCGCCTTCGTATACGGTTCGGAGCCAGATCGCGCAAATAACTTTCGATTCGAGTGATCTCCGGCTTTCCTTCAGGGGCCTGCCCAAGAGCCCTCCCCACCCTTACAAGCAGGGTTACCAGGGTCTGGTGGGAAACATACTCTACAAGGGCCACTGAATAATAATAAGAATAATTATAATAACAGTATGAATACTGAAATCACTAATGAGAAGAAGAAGACGTAGAAGAAGAACAACAATGCATAAACATACAAATCCGAAGGCCCACGCAGATTTCTTCCACCAACGCTGGACTCCCTCCTCCCTCTGGCGTGGCGGCGACGCGTGCCAGCGGCGGCGCCGGAGGCGCCGCTGGGGTCGAGTGCCGATCCAAGAAATCCGCGTGGACCGCCCACAAGTTCTTTGGCGATCGACGTTTTATCCAGGCCCCTGCTCGCGCCAGAACTCCACGAGGGGGCGGAGTGGGGGCACGGATGCGAATCCAGCCTCTGCAGGCCAAGTTTGTGATCCATGCCTTGCCCCCCCCCCCTGGCGGCCACAGCGAGGGACTACAGCGTTTTCCCCTCCTCGAAGCGGGCTGTGCGGGCGCAACCGACCGCGGGGCCTCGTCGCCCGGGGGCCCGACGGTCTCGCCGAGCCTGTCCGCCCTCGCGCCGCGCGGCGGGGACCCGACGCGCAGCGCCGCGCTCCGCTGCCAGTCCGAGGCGGGGGCGGCCTCCTTCGCCGACCTGCGAGGAGGAAGAGGAGGAAGATGAGGGAGGGAGGAGGCTGGTCGGTCGGCGATCGCCATCCGATCCCAGCTCTGCTGCAACTTGCAGTGAGACGGATCGGCGTGCGCGGCAAAACTGTGCCCCCCGCGTTGTCAAACATCTCGTAGGGTGTTCCCACAAAGGCCTCGGGAAGCCCGCTCCTCTCGCACCTTGGGGCGCCCGCCGCGGCGCGAGACAACCGCGCACTGATCATGTGCCACGGGGTCGCGAAAAGATCACGACGGCAAGCTCTTGGCCGCTTCTTCGGCATCCAAAAAACCCTCGCCAGGCCCCCGCAAGAAAAACGGCTCGGGATGGAATGTCGGTCCCCTGGGCGGGGTCCAAACCTCTGCGGAGCCACCCTGTGCGAAAATCACGACGTCGGATGCCTGGGCGCGGCCGCGCCGAGCCAGTCGTCGTCGTGCTCGGATCTTTCGATCGTCTGGGGGCTCCCGTCGCCACGGCTGGCCGCATGCTCGGGAAACTGGCCAGGACGGACCCCGAGGGGTCCGTCAGCATCGTTAAGACGTGTAGCCCGTCCTAACTGGGAAACCTACACCCCGAAGTGGGGATGGATGCCGTCTCCGTCAGCCTTCGCGGCATCCACCCCCCCTGGCGGGGATAAGCACTGGCGCACCAGACCGGTGATGGGGAGAGGTTTGGCGATGCCGAGTCCGGGAGCTCGCTTTGACGGGCGTGCGTAGATGAAGACGAATAGGTAGAAGAGCAAGAATAATAAGCAGAAGAAGAAGACGAATAAGAGTAAGCATCACATATTTGCGGAGCCTCACTGGACCCCCGTCCCTGGTGCGCGGAGCGCGCCAAGCAAGGGTGTCGCCAGATCCGGAGGCGGCGCTCCAAGAAATCCGCGCGGGCCTTTGCGCATGTATACCTGCGCATGTGTTTCTTCTTCGAGGGTGGGCTCTGGGGGCCTCCAGGCTCCCGTGGCAGCGAGGTCCCCCGAGCCGGTCACGGGCACGCCCGCGCAGCCTCTTCCTGCGGCGGCGGCGGCCGCGCCGCCGCCATCCCCGGGGCGCCCCTCGAGCGCGGAGCGGCAGTCCAGGCCGACGCGCCGCCGCTCCAGGGGCTTCAGGCCGAGATCGCCGCAGAACTGCTCCCAGCACTCTGCGATCTCCGCGACATCCTGGGCGCCCGTGTCCTCGCACCATGCCCTCGCGGGGGCCGCGTAGCGCGCCAGGCCGAGCCTCTCGAGCCACTCCTGCAGCCCGGCGACCTGCGCCTCGTCTTCCCCGCGCTCTGCGAGGCAGAGCTCGAGCGCGTCGCCGCACGCGCCCCCAGAGCTCCTGGACTCCTGGGCGGCCACCGCATGGGAGCTGGCCCGCGACAGCTCCGACGGCGACTCGCCTGCGCCGCCCAGCCGCTCCAGCACCTGCGAGATTGCGTCGACGGCGCCGGCGCCGCCGGCGTCCCCCAGCATCTCGGCGATCAACTCCGACAACTGCCCGATCTCCTCCTCCTCTGAAGGGACGGAAACCGTTCGATATCGGCCGATACTGAGACACTGGCGGCTCTCGACCTTGAACGCCCAAGCCGGGGTCGCCGCCTCGTCAACACGGCGCGAACCCGCCGCGGCGGCATCGGCATGCTGCGCTCCCCTTTGGCTGTGTTCAAGGGCGACCTTTGCTGCGCGGCTTGCCCCACGTGGCAGGCGATGCGGCAGCAGCGGCCTACGTGCTTGGGTTTGGCCAGGCCCCCAGGCCCCCCGGAAGCTGCGCACAATAGGCCACTCCGGCGAGGGGCCACAATACGGCAGGTTCGTGTCGTGACGACCTGGGCGTCGGCTTTGGACACCGCGTGGATCGTTCGACCTTGACCGATCGCCAATTTTTCGACCAGCAGATCGCTCCATGCTGCCCGATTCTGGGCCGCTGGCGGCGCTCCGCCTTGAACGCCCGCGGTGGGGCCGCCGCCACATCGACACGAAACGAGCCTGCCGTGCCGATTCCCCCGACCCACCCCCTCCTCCAGTATGCCCATCACGAACTCGAGCTGCGCATCGTCGAGCCGAGCGCCTGGCAGCTCGCTCTCCAGCAGCCGGCGCAGCCGGCCCCCTTTGCCCTGCCAGAGAACACCCGAATGGGGTCCGAGCAGATGAGGCCGGAGAAGATCGCGCCGCATCGCCGATGCACCGGCGATGCATCGGGGGTGGACAGAACCACCTTTAGTTGCAAAACGCCCTTTAGTAGTAAAAGCTGCAAGGGACCCTCCTACGTGCGCACGGCACTCCACTCGAGTGGACCCCGTTGGGGTGTAGCTAATCGAAGTTCAAAAAACAACCGAATGTGTTCAGCGAAACGCACGTCGCTGAGCAAATCCAACTGCGGAGTGTACCAATACCCTCGAAGACCAATGTCGAGTAAACCAGTGCACGTTTCCTCAACCGACTTGTCTGGATGGGCTTTCTCGCAAGGCCCGAATGCGTCGGTGACGCTGGGATGGATAAGTTCGGGTTGTTCCGGATCGAACCGCACCATCGATCGAATCGGAGATTCGGGGATCTTCTGACCCGGGTCAATCCAGACCCGGGTCAGCAGGAAACCAAAAACTGCACTGCAGGAAAAAAAAACTGCAACGCAGGTCCTCGCAAAGCCGGGTCAGCCAATAGTCGCGGCCGCCTCGCGGCCACGAGCGGCTCGCTAATCCGGGTCGGCCAGAAGGGGCCTTCGCAGGATCCTGCAGGATCCGGCGCCCTCCCGGAGATGATGCGGCGCGGTGCTCCGGCCCCGCGCTGCCCTGGCCCTGGCATCAGGAGCACGCCAACTGTACACCCACACCGGTCCTGGCCGGGCCCGTCCTTGGCCCAGGATCGGTGTGCACGCCCCCCCTCACCCGTGCCTTGGCAAGGAAGGCCCATGCACCGATCGTTGGCCCAGGATCGGCCTGGCCAGGATCGGCGCAGGTGTAAAGCTGGAACCCTCCGACGCCTGGGTAGACCCGCTGGACCTGCCTGCGTTGCCCTCCTGGCCCCGTCCCCAGACTCCCAACGGATGGGTCTGTCCGATCCGCGGGGCCCCAAGGTCTTGACACCCTACCCGGGAGCAGCTCTCCGCCCCTGATGCACTCCGCATGGCCCCTCGCCGATCCAGAGCGCGGCCCCCGGAGGCCGAAACGGGCGAAAAGGAAATGCGCCAGGACGAGACAGAAACCGCACGCCCCCGTGGGGCCTGCGCGGCCGCCAGATGGTGCGGCCTCCCCGCCAGCCGCGCCATAGGGCGCAGTCGGGCGCGGCAGCCCGCGCCGGTGCGCCCCGGCCCGCAAGCTCGCCGACACGGCCAGCGGGCGTCGCTGGCGGGGGCGCGCCCGGCTCCATGCGGGGCGCCGTGGCGGGCGTGCCGCGCGCCAGAGCCGGCGCTGAGCTGCGAGGGGGGCAGGATCGGCGGCGGCGGGGCGACGTGTCGGCGGCGCGCCCCGCGGGGGGAGGGGCAGAGGGGGCGGGCCGCCCCCAGCCTCCTGAGAAGCTCCACAAGCCGCAAGGGCCTTCCAAGAGGGTCGGAGGGCTTCTGAGAAGCCCCACCGCCTCCTGAGAAGGCTTGCCCCCCTTCACTTCCCGCCTGGGGGTGCCGCCTAACGACGGCCAGAGGGAAGGAGGCTCGTGTATCGAGGGGGAGGATCCAGGACCCACGCTTTGGGAAGGATTCGAGGGCCGAAGAGGGGAGGTTCGAGTGTCGAGGGAGGAGGGGCATGCTGCTCGCGGGGGCCCCTAGAGCGGGCTCGTGTTTTGCTGGCCAGGAGCGGGCTTGCCATGCCGAGCGCACGGCAGCCGGCCCCCTCTCCAACCTCCCTTCGTCTAGTCAGCCGCTTCCCCCGCCATTCCCCGCCTTTCCTCCGACTCGCCCCCTCCACAAGTACACAATGTGAGTACTACTCTCCTATTCTCTGACCCTGTCCGGACGATCGCGGGCCCCTTCCGCGTCCAGTTTTGCACACACGCATACACACAAAAATACAGGCACAAACATAGACACGGGCACGGACACGGGCACAGACATGGACACAGACACACACACACACACAGACACACACACAGACACAGACACAGACACACACACGCACACACACATTGGGTTATGTCGAGTTGGTTGTCCTATGCGTTTTCCCATCTGGTTGCTTTCGGTGTTTCGAAACTTGTGTTCGGGCTGCAGCGTGGCCCTCACTTTCGGATTGGCGCAGTGCTCCCGTCGTTCAGAATGGCGATCTCGCCCCAGCGCCCATCACTTTTCGGAATCCGAAGCCTTTTTCATCGTTGTGGCCCTGCTCTTTTCCCCTCCTCCACCTTCCCCTGGTCCGCCTGCTCATCCTAGTCCTTCCTCTCCAATTCCTGATGCTCCTATTTGTCCTCGTCCTCCTCCCCTTCTCATCCTCCTGCTCACCCGCCACATCCTACTGATAATCCGCTGTACGCAGCTCCCCTTCTCGGATTGCGCATAACACGATATGGGGTCTCTCTTGGAAGTTCGAAGACGGCAGTGACACGCGTCCGCGGACGGACAACAAATCACCGCAACGGGAAGTGATGGTAGGGAGGGATAGGATGCTAGAGATTGCGCGATCGCACCTAGCTGGCCCTCCCCCCCCTCTACCCCTCACCCCCATCATCTCCCTCCACCCCGCTCCATCCCTCCGCCCCCGCCAACACTTCTCCATCCTTTGCGCGCCCCTGCTCCCGCAGATCCTCTCTTCCAAAACCCCTCTTTCTTCGCTCGCCGCAACGGCTTCGACCATTCTCGACTCATGGGACTTGGGCTAGATATTCATGCGGCCTGACGGCGCGGCGGTTAGATGTTCGTCAACTTCTGGCACTTGTCGCTGCCGAGCGACCAAAACGACGGCCCCGGAACGGCTGCGAGAAGTCCCCAAAGAGCCCCCAGACGGGGCTCGGAGCCTTCGCAAGACGGACCCGCAGGCTCGCCTCGAGGGGTGGGCGGTGCGGCATGAAGCAGCACAATAACGACTGTACCCCAAGTTCTGTAAGGTTTTTGGGGCGTCTTCACCTTTTTAGGCGTCCTGCAGCTCCAGACGGCCTTTGATGCCTCCAAGACGGCACCACAACAGCCCGAGAAAGCTCCAAGATGGCCCACAAATCCTCCAACACGGCCTCAAGAAAGCGTGAGAGGGCCCCTCGTCGGCCCAAGACGGCCCAAAAAGAGCTCCAACCTGGCCTGAGAGAGTCCAGAGGGACGGCCAAGAGGGTCCCATGACTACCAGAAAGAGCTCCAAGACGGCCCAGTAGGGCCCCGAGAAGATCCGAAGTAGACCAAAGGAGCCCCAAGACTGCTCCACAGGAGTCGAAGAAGGGACGGACGAAAGGGAGGAGGACGACTAAGACAAGAGAAGAGAATCCCCGAGACGACGTGGGAAAGAGTGTCACATGTTACGGCTCTCACAAGCATCGGGATACGAGGTGCCGCACATTGCGGGCTCCCTTGCGCCCCCCGAACAGTCGCCATCTGCTAGGCTGGCACTGTGGCAGGACTTGCCGCCAGCAGCTGGATATGGAACCACGGGGCATTTCTGGCCACGGCGGGCCTCGGCCACACATCATTAGGTTCCCCGAGCTACATCCAAGAGACGGTATGAAAACCAGAGTCCCTCCTGAGCCCACAATTGTCCGTACTTCAACTTAAAAACTTCACCGCGCACCCGTCTCAAGGGAGCTGGCCGCTGGCATCTATAGCCGGTCGACGGGGACCGCCGCCACCGCCGCAGTCAGCGCCGTCGCCGTCACCGCGGTCGAGGCCATCACTGTCGTCGTTGAGGGAGTCGTCGTCGCCGAAGGCATCGTCGGACGTCCACGTCGTGAGGGGCATCGGTCGGCGGCCCAGCCCGCCGCGCGCGCGCGCGACCGCCAGGGGGCCCGCCGTACCAAGCCAAACAAACCAGACCTGACCCACCAGGCGACCCTGTGAGCCCAGACTCCTCTGGGAACGTGTGGAGATTTCCCTCGCGGCCAGCCCCGCAGCTCCGCGGGTAAGCGGGATCTCACCTCCCCGTTGGTCCTGGGGGTCGGCGCTAGGGTTGTTTCCGCTACGCGGAGGCCGTGGAAGATAAGATGCATCCTGCGTTTGACTGACCCGTCAAAGTTGAAGGAGGATTTGTGGAGAACCGAGGTCCCCAGGGGGGGAGTCAGCACCAACGGGGGCCAGCGGGCGGGTCGGGTCTGAGCCCACCGGGGGGAGCACGGAGAGGCGAGAGAGCGGAGCGCGGCTCCTCGCCCCGCACGCGCACCCGCGCGAACAAACACGCCCCACGGCCTGGCGGGGCGGGCGGCGCGCGCCGCTGTCGCGCGTCGTTTTCCGCCGTCGCCGCGCGCCGCCCTCGCCGCCGCCACCATCGCCGACGTCGACTGCGTCGTCCTCGACCTCGTCGCTGTTCTCGCCGTCCTCGCCGTTCTCGTCGTCGGCCTCGCCGTCGTCAGCGACGACGTCGCCCCTCAGCGCGTCCGAGAGGGCTGGAGAAAACGACGAGCTCGTTTTTGTTGGGGATGAGGCCGGTATGTGTGAAAGGGAACATGTTTCGCTTCTTTGTTGCTCTGCATCCTGGGGACTTTGGAAGAACCTCGCAGGGGAGGGAACGGGGAGGTAGCAGGCCCACAAGTGAAGTGGCGAGAGCCAATCTCGGAAACATGGAATGAAGAGATTCGAGTGCCCCTGCCACTCTTTCTGAGCAAGGGAGACCTGGAATGACGCATCACTCTTCTCGACCTGAGAGGTGTTCAGTGGTGAGCGTTCAGTGCCCTTGCCACCCTCTGCGGACATGGGAGGCTGGCAAGTGTACGAACCCGCTGCCCTTGCCACCCAATGTGTTATTTGCGCGAAGGGGCCGCTGCACTGTACGCGCCACGATAGTAGGAGAAGAGGAGACGCGATATGTAATTGCTGCTTTCCCGTGAGAGAAGGACTGAGCATTACCCTTATCCGCACCCTTGCCATCATCATAAGGATGCCCATGCCATGCAGTCGAGAACAGGTTGACAGGAGGACAGCACGGTGAAGACATGCCTTCGAAGGCATCGATGCCTCGGTGTGGTCATCGTCTCGAACCAACCCCCCGATGGCAAACCTGCCGCGCCAGAGATGCTTGACGTAGAAGTTCAAGCACAAGGCGCCCTGCTCATTGCGACCATGGCCGAGTTTCAATTCTATGCCCTCAAGCTGATGCCACTGCGGACGCTCGTCACGCGCACCCTGAGCTTGGAAACGGAAGCCGTCGGTGCCCTTCGCTCCCAACCACGCGCCCGCGAGATTCAGCTCGTGAAAACCTGATCGGACAAGAACGGGAAGCACCGCTTTAGTTGAATGTGCGTATTGGGCGAAGAATAAGAAAAGGACGACGAGGCGATGACGAGGACGACGTGCAGAACGTGAGGAGAGAGAGGAGGAGCATGAGGACAACGAGAAGAAAGAGATGCACAAGGACGAGGGCGAAGAACACGAGGGCGAGCACGAGGAGGAATGCGGAGGACGATGTCGACGACGACGACGACGGCGTTGCAAATATCTGTATTGATCAACCCGTGTATGAGAAAGTAACCTTCATGGAAGCGGGTGCGGAGCCCATGGGAGATATTTCCGAAGACAGATACAATATCTTGGATCTCCTGCTGCGCGACGCTGCCACCCTCCATCGTATCCATGGACTGCGAAGCCGCAGGGAAGCCGCTCTCGCAACAGACCACTATCTGGTTACAGCTACAATGCGGCATGTCGACGAAGACCCGCCGCCAGTTCAACTACAGCGGAAGGGAGCTCAATCACTATTTGCTGAAGCCTTTCTGGAAACAATTTGTTCCAATTCCCACATCGGCACTGCGGGGTTAGTGGACAATCTATGGGAAAACGGTGTAACAGCAGCGATCGCTGCAGAAGCGGCCCTCCCGTCCCTTGTTTCTGACAAAAGGAAGCCATGGACATCCCAGCGCACGTTGGATTTGATCGATCGGCGCAATGCCGCGCGAAACCAACGAAATCGAATGGAACAGAGGCGTCTTTTGAAGGAACGGAGAAAATCAACCAAAGAAGATAAAACAAATTGGGTTGATTCTGCCATCGCTACCGGCAGCTAGTACGCATTGCGAAAACATTGCAAACCGAAGCCCCCGAAGCAAAGGCGGCTCAAAAATCTGGACGGGGTACTTGTTGAGAGCACTGACCGGGCTGACGCAATGGCTGATTTCTTCGAGAAGGTTCAGTGGAAAGTCAGACCAGCGACACTAACCGACGAGCCCCCACTTGGAGACTAAATGCCAGTGGACGAAGCGCCTTTTTCAACACGAGAGGTTGGTAAGACAGTGTACGCGCTGAAGTGGGAGAAAGCAAGTGGTCCAGACGACATCCCTGCAGAATACTGGAAATCCATTGTTCAGACGCCAGGGGGGTTGCAGTGGCTCACAAATCTGTGTAACGCCTGTTGGGAAACAGGCACGGAACCAGAGAACTGAAGGAGTCAAAAATCAGCGCCATCTAAAAGAATAGGGGCGCGATCGACAGTTGCGACCACTACCGGCCGATAAGCTTATTATGTGTAGCTTACAAATTATTGGCATCCCTATTGTTGCAACGGCTCCAACGAGCAGGTGCGGAGGACCGTCTTACTTCAACGCAGTGCGGATTCAGACGTGGACGAGGGACATCAGATGGGATTCATATGGTTCGAAGGGCAATCGAGGCGGCCAGGGCGGCCAAAGATGGGAAGATTGCGTTCGTCGCACTGGACTGGAAGAAAGCGTTCGACTCGATCAACATGGACGCGATGATTGCCGCCTTGTGGAGGTACGGAGTTCCTCCAAAAATGCTTGTGCTCATCGCCAACATTTACGACAATCGCCATTTCTACGTATCTGACGGTCCCCGGGCGTCCAGACAACGACGACAACGATCAGGAATAGCTCAAGGTTGCCCTCTCTCTCCATTCCTTTTTTTGATGGTCATGACAATATTGATGAGGGATGCGACGGACAAGCTGGAGCAGGAAGCGAGAGCAGATATGGAAATTGGCAATTTGCCTATCCTATTGTACGCCGACGACACCCTATTAATAGGTATACCTCAACAATACTTACAATAATTGCTGGATGCTGTGGCGTGATCTGGGGCACGAGCCGGGATGGAGCTACATTGGGATCACTTCCAATTGATCCAGATCGGATGCGAAGTTCACTTGCGAACTCCCGAAGGCCGCCTGATCCTTGCCCAAGACCACTTGTCATACCTAGGAGCCACCTTGTACAGCTCAGGTTGCGATTCGAAAGAGTTGAACAAGCGGCTAGGAGCTGCATGGGCCGAGTTCGTCAAATACGAACGAGCCTGGAAGCACACAGCCGTCGGCAAGAGCAGAAACATCGAAATGTTTCAAGCTCTGATTACAAGCAAAGTCTTGTATTCACTGTCCACTGCTTGGCTGAACCAATCCGAAAGAAGGAGGCTGGATGTATTCCAAGCCAAGTGCCTCAGACGAGTTTTACACATTCCTCCTCCTTTCCTGTCACGCGTGTCAAATGAGGTCGTGCTGCAGGAGGCCCGGCAGGCCCCCTACAGCACCCAACTTCTGCGACAACAGCTCGCGCTGTTTGGAAAAATAGGTAGGAGGTCGAACCACGATTTCCATAGACAACCCACGTTCCAGCCTGACACTGTTCTCCCAGCCACGGCCGCACTCAAACGCAAGCGTGGTCGACCGAAGAGAGAATGGGCAACGTAGCTGCACAGAATGATCTCGTCTTGTTTCAATTCGCACGATCTGCTCCTACAATGCATGCATGACCCTGTGCAATGGGATGCTTCTGTGAAGCGCCACACACAACAGTGCGTCGAGCCAAACGGGCATCTGTGACCTGTTGCTTTCTTCCCCGCTCCACCCCCCCCTCCCTCCTCTTCTTCCCCCTCCCCCTCCCCCCCGCCGGGCACGTTGTAAATTATGCGACCGCCGACGCGCCGCCACTCCCGCTAAGCGGCGATAGCTGGCTGGCATTGTCTTCGTTCGCCCACGCGCTCCGGCGTATGGCATGAGTGAGTGAGTTTGGGCCGTTTGAAAGCCCTCCGGGAGCGATTCTCACACGATGTCGATTCAGAATACCCTCTGGGGCCGATTTTTCGAGGAGGTCTCAGGCGAAACGCCGCTTCTCTGAGTTTGCATGCGCACGCGCGCATGGATTTGCAACCAACGCGCATGCGTGCACATGGATGCAGTCTCTGGGCTTCCCTAAATGCCCAGATGGTCGCCGCTGGGGGCTCGTGCGGTTGCTTTGGTCAGGTGTTGCGCGTGGCCTATGCTTGTGTGCGTATGAGCATGTGCATGTGTGTGCGTCTGTGCGTGAGTGTGCCTGTGTATGCGGCTGTGTGCGTGTGTGCGCGTGTGCGCACGGGCGTGTACAGGGGTGTGCCAGGGGAGCGGGGGGAGGGGGTGCACGGTGTGCGTACGGGGCGTGTGCCTGCCTGGCGGGCAGGCGGGGGGGACTTGTACGGTGTGCGCAAGGACTGTGCGCCTGGCGGGCGGGCGGGAAGGGCGCAAAGAGTGCGTACGCTTTGCGCTTAGTCTAAGTGGTGTATTGTCTACGTGGTGTATGCTCTGTGGGCATTCATGCGCTGGGAGCGTGTTGTGCTCCTCCTCCTCCTCCTCCTCATCATCATCATCATTATCCTCCTCTTCCTGCTGCTCCTCTTCCTCCTCTTCCTCCTCTTCCTCCTCCTTCCCCACTTCCTCTTCCTCCTCTGTCCTTCTCCTCTTCCTTCTCCTCCTCCTCCCCCTCGTCCTCCTCCTCTAATTCCTAGAATTCCTAAAACAAAAAAAAAAAGACGTGGCCAGCTCAGCGAACCACGCCCACCTACTTAAAGCAGGAACCGCCGCAAGGTCGAGGGCCCTAGCCTCATGCGGCCCGAAGCCGCCAACGGCCATGCCCACGATAACACGCGGCATGGCCGTGGGCGGCCGCGGGCCGAAGGGCAGCGCGTGCCCCCCCGCCGCCGGCGATCCGCCCTTGCACAGAGCCAGCACGCACATGAGGGAACCCAGCATGATGATGTGACGACGACCGAAACTCTCCATGGCCCTGCACATGTGTTCGCCAGCCGCCGCGAGACCCCGAGCTTCCCCATGAACGACGTTGGATATCGGGATCGACAACTTCTCCCCGTGAGAACAGCCCCCCCCCGTTGTTCGTTGTTTCAAGACCTAGGGAAGGTCTGACTGAGCACCCCCCCCTCCAGCATGTCCCCATTCACCTCCTTCGCCCTGTCGGTGGTGTCGAGATCCCCGT